CAAGATTATTATTCTTACACAATCAGCTCTTGTTTAGTAAATCAGTCTCAAAACAAGATCAAAAAGACTTTTTGGCTGATATAAGATTTTAAAACTTGGTTAGGTGGACAGGTTTTGCGGTGTCCTTGCCATTGTCAAACAGCTTATTTTGCTGTTGTTATTTACACTTGTTTTGAGTTTCTGGTACCACCAGGTGCTGCCAGTAAGGTGCCCCATAGATTTATTGCCAAGAAACAATGTTACAACAAAGAGATAATTTACCAAACACAAAATTTCCTTTCTTTTTGTGCTAAATATAATATTTTACATATCTGATGCGAGTGCCTTCAGTAGAGCCACAACAATAATTTTCATTTTAGAACACTCAATTCGAATGTTATTAACCCAATTAAATGGTCGTTATTAGTAATTATCAGTCCCATTCATTGGTTTCAGACTATCCCATCTCCTTGTAGGTTGATAGGCACTTATCCATCATTCTGCCATGGGACCACCTCTGATGCRTCCCTCYTGACCCCAACGATGACACATCTCAGCCTTCTAGCCCAGGTGTAAAATAAAGTAATTTAATTTATCACCTGTGCAGTGTGTCACTGTGTCTCACCAAGAACATAAGTGCATCTTTCTGGTGAATTAAATGCAAGACTATGGGATGACTCAAAGCCTGGAATTATGCAACATAGTCAAATTTCACAACGATACATTCAATAGTGCCAAGTGTGAGAAGAGGAGGCTACAACTTGGTGAGCTCAACACGACCTTTCGGAGAGTGCTAGAAACCCCGGGGAAAATAAATGCCTTTTAGAAGGGCTAAAACTGTTCAACATATTCAAATTTGAGCCCTTTTTTTTTTTTTGGTATTTTGATTTTGGTGAGCAAAATAAAATGCTCTGATCAGTTGAACCGACTTCATATCACACAACTTCTCATTTACTCRTTTTCCCAGACAAAGTGGTCGTTTTGACAAAGCCAACAGCACTGGCTAAACCTAGCTGCCTTCTCAGGCTTACACCTCAGAAAAGACCAAACTGATTTATATGAAACTTTCAGGAAATGTTTATTGCACCACAAGGAACAGCCGATTGAAGTTTGAAATGTTTCACAGCCCAAACCATTACYGAATCTCTAACAGAAGGAGCCCTCCGCTTGGTCAAAATAGACCACTTCATAGATTTTTGTGCACATAGCAAAATCTAACTTTTCCAGGTCAGTCATTGAATAAAGAGCTTTAGCTGGAAACACCATTGAAATTAAGCAAATTTAACAAGCTCAAATATTTTTAGCTTAAAGGTATGCAAATTTACGGAGCCTGCGAGGGGACACGGGGGGGATTTTTTTCCCTTTTGCG